GCCAAAAATTTTCTATGTTGCTAAACATGTTGGTGGTTTCTAATAGGTAATCAAATGGATGGCAGCAAACCATAAACCAATCAAGACAATTGGACTTACTGTTCCATCAATGTACCTAGACAAGAGGTTGGAGGATGATAAGGACTATAGTCTCAATTTATTCAAACCGGATGTGGATGCCTGCATCAAGTGGCTAGACTCAAAGGAAGCTGCATCAATTGTTTATGTATCATTTGGAAGCTTTGCCACCTTAGGAGAAGAACAAATGGAGGAAATAGCATGGGGTCTAAAGAGGAGCAACAACTATTTCTTGTGGGTTGTTAGAGAAACAGAACAAAAGAAGCTCCCTAGCAACTTTGTTGAGGAGACATTAGAGAAAGGGCTAGTAGTGTCTTGGAGCTCTCAATTGAGAGTTTTAGCTCATGAGGCAGTGGGTTGTTTTATAACTCATTGTGGTTGGAACTCAACGATTGAGGCGTTGAGCTTGGGGGTGCCAATGGTAGCAATGCCAATATGGACAGACCAACCAACTAATGCGAAGTTTGTTGAAGATGTATGGAAGGTAGGAATTCGAGCTAGGATGGATGAAAATGGCATAATCAGAAAGGAAGAGATTGAACGGTGTATAAGGGAAGTTATGGAGGGAGAGGAAAGTATGGATATCAAAAGTAATTCAGAGAGGTGGAAGAAATTGACCAAAGAGGCAGTTGATGAAGGTGGAAGCTCTGATAGGAACATAGATGAATTGGTAGCAGAACTTACGTTCAAATAGTTATTTATATAATTACAACACAAATATTGTAACAAAAATTCTATTACAAAAAAATTGATATATAAATTTATCACAAAAGTTTAATAAAAAATATTATTATTTTAACATTAATCAATTTTGATTAAAATTAATCAAATCCGATTAAAATTAATCAGGTCCAAACTAAGCTCAAGTTTTATTGAGTTTCACATGTTTTATAATGTAAAATTTTATTTTCTTAAATATTTTTTTTATCTATATGGGATATATTTATAGTGCAAAATCTTATTCTCTTATGTGTTTTTTTACCGATGTGGGATGCATTGATTAGAGAAAACTTAAATAAGACTGGATTGCAGTAATGATTTTTATCATCACAAGTATGTATTCTTTTTGTGACAATTTTTTGTGACGTAATATATTTTTAGTGATGAATTATTTGGTCACCATTGAATGTGTAAGGTATATGTGATTAATATTTGAAATTTGTCTTAATTAGGATAAATTATAATGATGATTTTTATTGTCACTAACTTATTTTTTATTTGTGATTATTTTTCAGTGACGAAATATCCTTTTAATGGTAAATTTTTTTATCATTATTGAATATACTTATATTTGTGATTAATTTTTACATTCTGTCACAAATATAATGAATTATAGTGTTAATTTCAACATTCATTATAATTTTTTGTCACTAAAAATCTCATTTCTTGTAGTGACATGAATGAAAAAGAATTATAAAAATGAAGGAGTTATTCGATGTCGTATGGTTTATATTTAATGTAATATTATTTCAAAAGTATTAATGTTTTTTTGATACATTAAAAAGTAATTGTTATAGTTTATTGTTTATGGAATTAGAGTGAATGACCATATGAAATTAGATTCTAACTGTATTTAGGCCTTTGCCTAAGATAAAAACTATCCTCGGCTGTGTTTAGTCCAAAATCTGAACTTAAGTTTAGTCCATGATT